TATATATATATATATATATATATATATATATATATATATATATATATATATATATATATATATATATATATATATATATATATATATATATATATATATGTATATATATATATATATATATATATATATATATATATATATATATATATATATATATATATATATATATATATATATATATACAAAGCATTTGTTGTTGAAAACTAAAATGTTTTGAAGTGCCTGTAGGTTTACATTATCGAATCATCTAGCCTGCAACAATTGCTGAATTTAGGCAAACCATTGAACATGTCATTGTTTTGAGATGTCTAATCCAAATTTCAAAGTTCTTATTTATACTTGAAATATTAAAAGACAACCAATTTTTCTAAACTTTGTTGGTATATATATATACATATATATATATATATATATATATATTTTGGTAACAGACTGTTGTTAACGCAACATTTCAAAAATTCAACAGTACTTTCAACATTGTTCAACTTTTTATATTTTTTTTTAATTTATTAATTTAAGAGAAATTAGACATTTTATTGTTTTTTAAAAATTTTTTATTAAATAAATTTGCAAATAGATATTTTGAGTTATAAATAACTCATCTTCAGTGCATTCATTATAAATAAGGTATGTAAGATATTTGATTTAAAGGAACAAGTAATTATTAATTTATATAAATTATTTAATTAAAACAGAAAACCAATAAAATAAATTTAATAACTATAAACAATATAAAACGCGATTTTTAAAATTTTAACGGCAAGATTGTTTATATTATGGTTGTTAAGGTAAATATCAACGCTCAGCCGAGAAGCGCGAATTAATTTATTTAATTAACTACATATTATTAATATTATTTTGACAATATTTAAAAATGTTATTATTATTGTTAACGTTATTATTGTTATTGTTATTTCTCGTTATTATTGTTATTGTTATTTCTCGTTGGTCAAAAACTCTGGAGAATTTTGCTGGAGTCCTCTTCAAATTTGCCAGAAAATATTTGGTACAGCAACTGCCAACAAACGCCAATTTGTTTAAATGGGGCAAAACTCCAAGTTCTCTGTGCCCTCTCTGCGGTTGTAAACAAACAAATAAACATGTGATTTCTAACTGCGGTTCCACATCCGCTCTTAAAAGATACACTGAAAGACACAATAAAATTTTGGCCGCGATCACCAACCGATTGAAACTGTTTTCGCCTGCCTATTGTCGGTTGTTTGCAGATTTGAAAATTGACGGTGTTCACCCTATATCAGATCTGTTCAACACTCTACGACCTGACATCGCCATCCTACTAGGCAACACAGTAGAGATCTTAGAGTTAACAGTTTGTCATGAAACAAATCTTGAATCATCCAGGCAATACAAGATCAAAAAATATTCAGATAATTTGCACAGTAATCTAAATGACAACTATAAACACTGCACAATAATTATAAATACTTTTGAAATATCACCAATAGGTTTTTATAATAACTTTAATCTTTCACTTTTTAAAATTTTGTAGCCGGATTCTTTCAACGATAAATTGATTCTTTCAACGATGAATGATAGAGACTGAGACGTAGTAGTGTCAAATCCAATTAATAAAGTTGTTCTTCGAATTTACTATCAAAATTTAAAAACATCCCAACTAATCATGAAAAATAATTGCCTTCCTGCAACTACTCAACTACAACAAAGTCATCTAATATATGAATATAAATGCTCCTCGCACCGCAACAATGCTTCATATATTGGAATGACAACTACCACATTGTCAAGACGTTTGACCATGCATCTATTTATATATATATATATATAGAGAGAGAGAGTATAATATATATATATATATATATATAGAGAGAGAGAGAGAGAGAGCTTTTGAAACTCTTTCATAATTTATTGAAACTAATTCTGATGATTTGCACTGTCAACAATGTCTGGCATAAAACAAACGTCAGTTTAAAAAAGGCAGTGAACGAATAAATCTTTTTTTATTTTTTTTTTATTTTATAATAATCTAATCTATAATTGTTTGAAATGTTTCGATACTTTTCGGAACACCCTTGAATGTTTGCCAGCTTGGAGGATTCCTTAAAAACAAATTTGTGTTAATCGTTAAATCGATTCAAATTGTAAAATTTATCAAAAAAATTATATTCTGTCGGTTATTTTAAAAAAGATTTAACTGTTGAATAAGAAGAATAACAAAAATTTACAACCAATCCTTTACCATTTAAAAACTATAACATATATAAAGCGGATATCAAACAATAATATTTGTAATAGCTTCCTCATCTCATATGTTTTGAATTTGAGTTTTTTTTTATACACACGTTCATTCACTAGGTAGCATCCAAAAGTGTCGTTTAATTCATTTCGTCTAAAACTCATTTTGTCTTTATTCATTATTAGCTTCAATGCCATTTAGTCTTTTATTTTGTCTTTACTCATTTTCTACAGTTTATTCTTCTAACATTTTTTTATTATTCTTTAAAATATCGGGAATGGTATAAAATGGTAACAAAAAAATAAATTAATAAAAAAATAACGGAGAAAAATGTTTAAACATGAAAACTATTGAAAATAAATTAAAGTTATGGTATAAAAGGGCAAATGAATAAAGTAATTTATTAATGGACTAGATAATGACTTGGTGAGTTAGTGAGATGATCGATAAGAAAAAAAGAAAACTAGATTTTGTAAATGATAAAGTCTTACTTAGTGCTGATATATTTAAGGTGTCATGTGAAAGTCTTATCCTGATATGTTGATTGAGTGGCGACTTGATGGTAATACTGGCGTTGACGAAGGTTGGTTGTAGTAGTTTTAATTGGGGGGAGTAGAGGATGAATGACGTGAATGTTGTTATTTTCTACTTTCATGAAAAGTCTTGAATCGAGTGTGTTGGATATTTGAGTGACGGTAAGTCTAGGATATGATGAAGGTTGATAGTTGAAACGAATTAGTTTTTTGATGGGAGATTGTAGTTGTTGAAGTGGTTGTGTAGCAAAACCAGACCAGGAGGGAAATGCACATTTTGTCAAATATCCATTTATTCAAACTTATTTAATATTTACAAATTTTAACATAATAGTGCTTTCAAAGTGTTGCACATTACAATTTTACAAACTCATTGAATAATTTTTATGAGTTCTGTCAAACTTAGCGTGTGTTAAATGCCTATTTCATATAAGTGAAATTTTTCTATAGTATATATTGATAGTTAAAAATTAAACATATTTTTTTTAGCAATCAACCAATCAATCAATCGATCGATCGACCGATCAATCAATCATCAGTCAGTCAATCAGTCAGTCAGTCAGTCAGTCAGTCAGTCAGTCAGTCAGTCAGTCAGTCAGTCAGTCAGTCAGTCAGTCAGTCAGTCAGTCAGTCAGTCAGTCAGTCAGTCAGTCAGTCAGTCAGTCAGTCAGTCAGTCAGTCAGTCAGTCAGTCAGTCAGTCAGTCAGTCAGTCAGTCAGCCAGCCAGCCAGTTAGCCAGTCAGCCAGTCTGTCAATCAGTCAGTCAGTCAGTCAGCCAGCCAGTCTGTCACTCAATCAATCAATCAATCACTCACTCAATCACTCACTCACTCACTCACTCAATCAATCAATCAATCAATCAATCAATCAATCAATCAATCAATCAATCAATCAATCAATCAATCAATCAATCAATCAATCAATCAATCAATCAATCAATCAATCAATCAATCAATCAATCAATCAATCAATCCAATCAATCAACCAACCAATCAATCAATCAATCAATCAATCAATCAATCAATCAATCAATTTGTTTATAAAGCGCTGTTTCGATTTTAGGGAAGTATTTTTAAATTAGTTAAATATTAGTTAAATGTTTAGCCGGATGTTTAAACGGTTTTTCGAAGATTGAGTATCCGGTAGTCCTGATTTTCGGAATTTTTTTTCAGAAATACATAGGTATCCATATTCTACGTCAACTTTAAAAAGGAAAGATTGATTGATTTAATCGTTTTTTTATTATTCTTTAAAAATCAGTATCTGACATACGCATGCAAAGCAGTAGTATAAAAGTAAACGAATAAGTAATTAAATAAACAAAAAACGGAGAAAGAAAAATGTTTAAACATGAAAAGTATAATAAAATAAAATAAATGATAATAAAATAAGTAAATAAAATAAAGTAAATAAAATAAATTGACAATAAAATAAAGTAATGGCATAAGAAGGCAAATTAATAAGGTATGTATATATATATATATTTATATGAAATTGTCTATAAGTCTATTATAAACATTTTACATATACGTTTGTACTTTATGTGTGTGCATGTGTAAATCAACGTGCTTTCTCTTTTCACAGCCATGTTTCACCGTGCATATACTTACTGTGGCTTGTAGCAATCTTCAATCCCGTTATTTTTATAAGGATATAGGTGTTATATATATATATATATATATATATATATATATATATATATATATATATATATATATATTGTTAATGAAAAGCCAATATATATTGGTACATTCACAAAACATTATGTCTGTTTTTTATTTTGTTTTCGACCTTCTCAGCGAGCGATATATGAGGTTGATGTATGTTGATAATTGAAAAGAACGCCATTAGCGGAGTCATTCCTTTCGTCTTTAAAAGTAGCGATTTGCCAAGCAGAAAAAGTGAGATTTACTCTTTTTGATTAAATTTTGATAATTTTATTAATAATAATCATAATCTTTCAGCTATTTTTTTCTTAATTACCTTCAGTACCTATCAAAGTAATTTGCCTGTTTGATGCTTTATTTTTTTGCACTTTTTATTTTTAATGTATATATATTTATGTATACTCAGATATTACATTTTTTTTATTATTTTTTAAACATCAGGATCTGACAGATGCAGAAACTGTTACAGCATGCATAGGCAGTAGTACAATATTAAACAAACAAATAAGTAAATAAATAAATAAAAAAACGGAGAAAGAAAAATGTTTAAACATGAAAAATAAAATTGACTAAAATAAATAATAATAATAAAATAAATAAAAGAAAATACAATAAATTGACAATAAAATGAAGTAATGGCATAAAAATGCAAATTAAATATATTGAAAAGATGATCAGGTAAATCTAACATACATTGTTAGATGTAAGCAAATAGTTACTTTCAGGAAAGAGTTTCTGAGTCAGAGATTTCCACCGAAATTAAAATATTTTTAGAGGTTGGAGTTGAGGGTGGATAATTTTCATCCGACACCCTGCTTTGAGGAATGGGCAGTCAAAAATTATGATATGCTTTACATGGGCAACTCAGAAATTCAGGAGGTAGGGAAAGTCAAAAGTCTAGAATTAGCGTAACATCTTTCAGGGACAGTCTCATATAACAGATTCGTGTCAGTTTTTTTTGGTTCAATTGAATTTTAAACAAAATTAATATTTCAGCTATTATAATGCTAACAGCATTTTGTTGTAGAAATAAACATAAAACACTGATAAAATTTGTTCTCATTAATGTGCAGTTATTAAACAGATGTATATAAGATGTTTTACTAATCAGTATATTGCATAATTAGTGGGCAAGTCGCAAATGCATACGAACTAAACAAAGCTGGAAATTTTTATACTACAGCCCTTCCTTAAAGAAGTAGTCTCATAAATTATGTATTAAGTTGGTATTCTAGCTGTTAGATAATTAAACATTCAGAAAACTTTACTAAGCCTCTTATTTTCATTTTCTGTTCTTTCTTTCTTTATCCTAATTAAATAATTATCTATTTTTCCTATTATAATTTTCCCACAGTAATAATGAAAATGATAGTTCAAAATTTACTTAATGATTGTTTTATTATATTAATGGCAAAATAATCTTTTGCAGCATGGGATTTGATTCTTCAGCTGATACTGAATTGCAAGAATTTTTAGCAGTTGAACAACAAAAGGCCATGTTTCAGTTACATATACATAGGTTAACTAATCATTGTTGGGATGCATGTGTTGATCAGCCAAAAGAAAAATTTTCTCAGAGGAACGAAACCTGTTTATCGAATTGTGTTGAACGTTTTCTTGATGTATCTTTACTTATATCAACTCGTTTTCAGCAAATGTTGCAAAAATCATTGAACAACTAGTTTGCTTAAAGATATTCTGGTCTTTTTGTTTATAATATCAGTTGGAAAATGTCTAAATTCTACGCAGAGGCATTGCCAAAGCAACACAAAATCTCAACCTCATAACTTTTATTAACAGTTTATAGCATTTTTTATTTAATCTTTTAAAATTTTTATGACTTTTCTTTCTTTTTTCTTTATTATGCAGCTTTGACATACGCAGATCTGCTAACATATCATTTGTATATTTGAACCGTCATGCCACAAAGGCTGAACTAATCCTCATCACACAATGTACATGCTCATTATGTGAGCACACACAACTACTTGAACCAGGTCGCCGTGTAACTTCACGAGGCATGACACTGCGTTGGCAAAATACTGTATTGGAAAAAAGAATTTTCGGTGCAAAGATTAAATGTAGTTAACCGGACTCTATATTACTCTTCAAAAAGAAATCTTTTTTATTGTAATAATACTGTTTTTGTCGTGCAACCCGTACGCGATGACTTCATTGTGATACTGAGCCTTCAGGCTACGTTGACTGCTATTTCTAGTTGCGTAATCACAAACGCTTCCTAATTAGCAAATCTAAATGTAAATTTTGTTCAAAGGCGTTGTTCGATAATCGTTTTTTCAGTTTCATTATTTGTATACATATGAATTAAGCCTTAGTTTTTCATTTGAGTTATTTGTGCTACACTTCAAAAAGAAAATGCGGCAAAATAAGGAGACGCCTCCAGCGAAAAATAGGGCATTGTTAACGTAACGTGCGTTGTATTTTGCAGTTTCCACCTACTAATCAGGAACCAATGTTTTTTTATTAAAGACCGGTTTGATATGTTTTATATAAAAAACAGTTTTAAAAAACGCTCGACTGGTGGTGCCACATTTTTAAAAAATGTTGCGTCGATTCGGACCACATTCATCTTAAACCAATGATAAATTAATGCGTTTTTTCAAAAATAAAACGATTTTATTCCAGAAAGGTACAATACTTGTTTACCTTACATAAACCTGTAACACTCCGTAAAAACGCTGTTTTTAACCATTTATTAGTTTCCACAAGAGGATTCAATCGATGTACTTGACGCACTATGCCAGACAACATGGATTACTCAACGATGACTGGATTGGAAATGATCAATATTTATACCTATTCCAAAAAAGAAAAGTCAGTGATTGCACCACCTGTCGAACTATTGCACTTATTTCACACACTGGTAAAGCTCGATTGTAGCAATACCTGGAAAGAGAACTTCTGGGGCCCAGACAGGTTTCAGAAAAGGAAAAGGCACTAGGAATCATATTGCCAACCTGAAATGGTTCATAGAAAAAGCAAATAAATACCAAAAGAAATTATATTTTTGTTCCATTGATACAGTAAAACGTTTGACTCTGTCAGCCATAATCTGTTGTGGAAGGTTTTAGGTTTTGGAGAAAACGGGATTACCGGGGAATCGCTCGTCTGTTAATCATCGCAATCACCTTCGTCTGCCGTCATCATTGCAACTTCATCAACCAGTCAATACATCAGCTCTCGTCAATAAAGGCTTCTCACATTGCTCACCATCAATATGGAACAGTTTGCCACTCATCATCCGTCAACAATTATCAATAGAAACGTTCAAAAAGCGATTGAAGTAGCATCTGTTTGAACAGGCCTTTGGTGGCCGTGCCGACATTTGTTTATCCGGGCGACTCTGACGCTATGCATAGGGCGCTTATAAATGACATTATTATTATTATCATCTGATAAACCTAATCAAGAGCCTCTACAAGAAACATGAAGCAACAGTGTACGTTGTATGAAGAAGCTAGATGTTCGAAATTCAAAAAGAAGTGAGGCAAGGATGAGTCTTATCGCCATGTTATTCAATCTGTACGCAGAAATGTTAAAAAAAGCAGAACTAGATGATCTTAAAACTGAAGTCAGAATTGAAGGGTTTCTCCTTGGTTGTTTATGGAGGAGATACACGGACTGTAAAAAAAAGAGGAAAAATAGATGTAGGTTGTATTATGGTGCTGACGAAGATTTTTGAGGATTCTATGAACAAAATAAACAAATGTGCTGGGAAATCATTATTGAAATCTAAGATGCAAGAAAATGGTCTAATTTACTTTGAACATGTTATGAGGGCATACGGCTCATTATAAAAAATGTTGATAATGGGAGAGATGAGGGGACATTTTCCTGCAAAACAATTAACATTAGATCAAGAAAATTTTCCGGCAAAAAATTTTATTAGAGTCAAGTTTACGCCATTTTTATTTAATGAATAAATTTATCCAAAATATGACGGCAATTTGATTTTCTAAACAAAAATGATTACTAAACAGTAAACAGAAATGTTCATGTTCTTTGTTTGGGATGAAATGTGTCAAATGAATGCCTCATGTCTTAATTTTTTGGGGAGATAAATGTTCACAAGAAATGTTCGTGATATGTTATCTAGGCATTGAATTTCTGCTTTCATATTGAGTTTCAGCAATACTTTCAACTGAAAATAATTAAACGCACAGTAAATTTACTGCTTGATTAAAAAATCACAAAACAAAACATTTTAACAACTCCTAACTCCTAGATAAATTTAACTGATAAACTATGTTTTTATTGAAACTAAATTTTAAGCTTTTCTGTGAAATAATTTGCGAAAACCGACCTCCATTTTCCATAAAATGTTATCTGCAATATGATTTTTGAGCATGCGATTAGCTTTTTTAACATCAAGCTTTGTCAAAGGCATCAATGCTTCTTTGGGAATGTGCAACCTGTTCAAATGTATTACAAAAGAAAGAAAGACAATGAGAACAACACATCAGTAGTGCTTATTATCAATAATAAATATTTCGTTTATTTCTCAGTAGTATCAACGACAAATCCAGACAGCCTGTGAAACCAAGCATCGTTTCGTATCATTGCATGTGAATCTTCGTATCTAAACCCAGTCACTGCAATAGCAATAGCCTTAACTGTTGCACCGTTATACCATCTCCCCGCCCGAGCTAGTTTCATTCTCCTTTCTTTCAAACAACTCTTCTAAACAAAAAAATTGTCCAAGTTATGCCAAAACTGTAGAAATTTTTCTTAGAACTCCAACTATGATCAGACTGTTCAATAATTCCGAACTTAAAAACTCAATAAAACCTTAAAACATTTATAATTATTTTTTAGATAATATAGGGAAGACCGGGGCATATTGAACCAATTTTTAGTATTTAACCTGGTAAATTTTTATTATTGCATTAAAATTTTTTGAAATATATGAAATTTAATTATGTGAAAATAATAACATAATAATAATACTTCAAAATTTTATTCAATTCTAGCATGTTTCTTTGACAAGCCTGTCTTGCGGTTCAACCTAACCCGCTCACCGGGCATATTGATCCAAACATCAGGGCATGTCGAACCAGTATTTAATAACTGTTTTAAGCAATTTTATTGCTATAAAGAAATATTTTCAATTCAAAAAATTTATTAACATTAACAATAACAGCCGGATTGATCACGTTCTTGCAAAACAACTTGCTTCAGACATTTTTGACCAACAATTCTGCTAGGACGATGTACTGCGGTAATTAATTCCAGTTTCGTCGATGTTGTAATAAGATTCTCGTCCAAACTTTTAACGATCATAAACTGCAGGCAAGTTATCAAAAAATGAGGATACAGTTGATCTATTGAAGCTTGTTGCTCGAGCAGTAGATGTCGCCTCGGGTTTTCTGACTGAGAGGTGTAAGTGTTTTTATGAATCTAGAAAACCAATCAGCCCCAGGCATTATGTCAAGCAGGCATTTTTCATCACCAGTAGACACCTATTTTGGCTGACTGTAACCAACACTGAAACTTGACATTGGAGAATTCTGAGAATTGTTGTATTTTTACAATATCGAAGCAATGTCGCACGACAGACACTCAGGCACAGACACTTATTTTACCTCTAAGGCCCCTCTCACAGCATCCAACATATATCCAGGGGCAGATTTAGACAGCTCTGACGGAGAAAGCCAAGAAGCTAACCAACTTTTCGCTATTGTGGCCAAAATTAGACTGATGGCTACCATTTTTTGCTTTCCACGTTGATTTTTGGTCGATTTCCCTCTAAAAACATTGTTTCATGTGTAAAAACTGATGTTTTACTGAGTTTTATTAACAATACTGCTCACAACGTTTTCATACTGTTTTTCATACTGACCATTTTGATAGATCACACACTTGGATTTTGCACTTATACAAATACGGTTCAACGTGCTCCTAACAACATGGCTCAACATGCTCCAACCATAGTGATCCTATATTTCAACTGTTGCGTTACTGAGGCGTGAAATGAAGTACGTACTGTTTTACTGGATAAAAACATTACTAAAATATGTATCGTAAAATTTTTTTTTGCAATTGTATTTTAAAGGCTAATCACCTCAACGTCTTAAAATTACTCAAAAACGGCAAAATCACACAAGACAATTCGCAGGAATAAGTATGGCAGATTAACTCAGCTAGTTCTTTATGCATTATTAGTTAGAATTATAAAACGCCTACTGGTATTTTGTTATAAATAAGACAATTTACCCAACTTGTTCAACCTACCCTTGGTTCAACAAGCCACGGTCCCCCATATAATAAATGCAAATTATGTAGTAATTAAAAGCTGATAAAATTATTTCTGTAGCCGAATGTTTTTCCAAATCGATCAATCACTAATTTTTACACAAACTTGACTTATATTATTGATTTTTCTCAAAATATACTATAATTTTACTACAATAAAATTATAAAAACCTGAATATTTTATTGATAATGGAGATCTAGCTCTGAGCGATTTTTATTGATGAATTCTATAAATGAAGGCTATAAAAATTAGGGGTTATTAAAAATTGTATAAATTTTGTTACCAACTTTTCTATATCTGAAGGTAAAATTCCCAGCCATTTAATGTTGGGAACAGCTAGTTTATGGTTTTCTCGGCACAACGACTGGTGTTGTTAAGTGTTGAATGAAATAAATTCGGTTGATTTAAGCATGATATAATACAAATGCATTCATGTTTTTAGTTATTTTTGAAAAACTCAAAATATTTCCTCTGATATTCAAATTTCAAGTAATTATATCATTCACAAATCAAAGTAAATTTTGACATCTCTAATGAGACTGTTTTCTATCTATTCGGTAGACATTTTCACCTCACATTTTAAACAATGTAGACATAATCTTATAACCTTCCTCAGCCTCACCATAATGGGTAACATTATATCATAACAACACGTAAGTTTTCATGTTAAAAAATATTACAGCAACCTTCCTGTTTTCAAAACTACCTAATCACGTAATTTTTATCAATAACGGCGTTCTCGCTATTTTGGTATTTTATAATCTTTGGCTGAATGTTTTTCCAAATCGATATATCACCAGTGTCTAAATTCACTAGAGTTTACCGACAATGAAGCTAATTCACCAATTTATCATCATTAAAAATAAATTACTGACATTTAATTTAACATAACATAACAAAGATTTTTAAAGTGATCCAAGAAGATTAAGTTTGTGACAGGACCATTCTGAGACTTTCTTAATATCCTATTTCCGCTAAGTTTGCTTTAAAGTTATTAGTTGTTTTTGTGCATATTATTTCATCTCCCAGTTTGTCCCACTCTTTGACAACTTTGTAGCTGAAAAATTTTTGCTTCGATTCCGAGCTTTTTTTAAAGATCTTATATTTTTGCCCCCTTGTTTTACTGTTCATCCTAAGCTCAAAAAATTTCACTGATTCCAAATTCTCCTTCATAGTAATAATTTTGTATGCATGAATCAAATCTCCTCTTGTTTTTCTTTTTTATAATATTTTCAAACCACAAACTTCATATGGCATACTGCGACACTTCTTTATCATTCTCGTTGCCCTCCTTTTAATATTTTCAAGCATATGTCTGTCCTTTTGTAAATCTGGATTCCAAAGTTGAACACAGTATTTCAACTTGGGTCGAACGAATGTTTTATAAAGGTTTAATATGACAAACATAACTCTGCTTTTTACTGTTTTTTTACCGTACCCAGAATCCTGTTTGCACTTTTAGTTGCTTCGCTGCATTGCCGCGCTTCCTAACCGTTCCGATGAATTATCACACCTAGATCCTCTTCCTCTTCAACATTTTTTAGTGGTGTGTTTCCAAGTTTAAATCATGTTTTCCTTGTTGTTCACTCCCGTATGTATGACTGCATATTTGTTGATGTTGAATACCATCAGCCAATCCTCAGCTCATTTGCATATTTTTTGCAAATCGCATGCTAGAATTGCCTCTAATATTAAGGCTAAAACACTCTGCGGTATATTATCGAAAGCCTTAGCAAAATCTACGTTCAAATTTTCATAAACAAAAAGTCAAGAAAATTTGTTAAGCACGAACGCTTATCCATAAATCCATGTTGGCTCTTGTATATGATATTTTTTGCCAGGTGGTTCACAATTATCTTCTTAAGTATTCTTTTTATTATTTTGCATACAATGTTTGTAAGGCTAATTGGTCTATAGTTTCCTGGGTCGCAACGATCTCCTTTCCTGAAGAGTGGCACATCTTTCCAATCTGATGGTATTTCACCCGTTGACAACGATTTATTGAGAAATATTAACAGTGCTTCCGCAATGTCCTCTCATATTTTCGTAAATGCTGGATTGAGGCTGTCGCTTCCGGGGCTTTTATCTTCTTTTAGTCTTTGCAGCTCATCGACTATCTGTTGTTTCGTAATTGTCGCATCATCTAAGACAATCATTTTATTTCCATTAAAGTTACTGATTGGTTTTGGCAAAGATGTATAAATCTTCCTTGTAAATACAAAACTAAAATAATAGTTAAGTATATCTGACATTCTTTGGTGACCATCATTAACGACTCCAAGTTGTGAAAGATTTATTAAAAAGCTAGTCGACCCTAAAATGCGCTTTGTGTCAGTTACAAAATTATTTACTCTAAATTTTATTAATTCACATTTGAATAGAGACACACCGAATGTTTGGCCGAAATTTGATATTCATCTTCAACCATTTTAGACCGAATAGCCGAATGTTGCAATTTTTGTATAAATCATTACATTTTGGATTCCAGGTCAATAATTGCTGGTCATTATTATCAGCGAAAATTTATTTCGGCAATCACAGCCGCTAAAACATTTAAATTTGAACAGGAGATCAAATATAATTTTGAAAAAGAATTGTTGGATAAACACGATCCGCTTTCCGTTTTCTTTAATAACTTGTTTATCATTCTAAAAATAATTTTTTTCAAAATTGTTGCTTTTTTGGCATTTAGTTTCGAATAGTGGATCAACTATTCGGCTATTCGCTAATTCACTATTTAGTGCATCTCTAAATTTTACATGAACGTATTTGAACCTTAGATCCATATTTGTATGTAGATAGAATTTCTATACCTAAATATAAAAAAAACATCGTGTAACATAAAATGGGTAAATGAAATGATTCATAATATTTTGATTGATTAAAAAAATTAACCATGCGGGTCGGCGTCAACAAGGCAGTAGATAGGAAGTTTAAATTTATCCCAAATCATTTTCACCAGCAATCTCGTGTTAACATCGGGGAAGCCTTTGCCCTTATGTTCAGTTTGCATGATCGTGTTACAAATTATTACCAATATTTAAAGTTACTTATATTGACCTATACAAATTTGTAAATAAAATAAATTAAAAAATAATCATATCATACATAATTAATTTATTTAAACTTAAACAAAAGTCTCTATATTTGAGAATTTCTTCAGTGTGCCGACGTTGGCTTTATGGTGTGAATGGAAGGAATAAAAACATTTTTGAAAGGACTAAGCCAGTAGTTCAAAAATACAAACGAGAGTGTACAATGTTATCATTAATCTTTTTCATAACTGCTAAGAAGGGGAATGAAGATATTAAAAAGTTTTAATACGAGAATAGTTTATGGCAACTTACGATAAGATACAGATAAGTTAAAACAAGTGATTGAAAGCTCAGTGTTACTAAAAATTTATTTAAAAATGAATTAAATAAAATTAAAAATTAAAATAAAAAGATAAAGTAAAACAAGCTAACAAATAGAAAAAACTAAGGTTGAAAAACTAAATAATAGACGAAGGCTTTGCTAACCAGTTGTAAGAAACAAATTATTTAAAATCAATAAACATTTGAAAAGGAAATTAAATCGATTAAATCACAATGCAAAAATACTAATTTAAGATAAAAATGTTAGAAATAGATGTTTGAAAAATAAAATGTGTAGAAAAATAGAAACATAAAATGAACGAATGCTTCTATGAATGAACTAATATTTCTTGATGGTGGAATGAAAGGTATTGTTAACATGAAATATGACAGTGACAGTCGTGCTGATGTATGATACACGAAATGAAGAATTGACTGGAAGTAGCAGTTGAGACCTAATCCGAAACCTTGAGGTAAATAAGCCAAATTAACTTTTCATGCTAACATCAATTTCAAGTGCCAATCTAGAGCTTCTGCAATCTAATACAACTGCATCTATTACAGCCTTAAACCAAATATATATTTTGTAAATTATATTTTTAAAGATGGTTTCGATTAGCCTTTTATAAGATACAGAATATATGCAAGCACCTATATATATCGTCATACGAACAAATATTATAGCACACTTGGATTGTCTAACAAAATTATAAATTAATGATAAACAAACAGTTATTATGATGCATGGTCCATGTTTCTCATGAAACTTGTCTTCAACAATTCGCTGAAATGATGCATCTTTCTCCACAATCAGGAGAAACTGTGCTTCGGTTTCAAGTTCTAGAAAAGTTCCTCTTAATGATTAAATAAATTTTTACAAAGCAATTTAATTACTTGAGCAACTTTCCACACGTGAAGGTATCGAGATTCCCTGATGTTCGAAACAGAGCAAATTAATTTTCAAAAAATTGTTAATAGAAACAATGTAACATATAAGTAAAGTTAATTTAACATTAGAAAATGTCAACTTAACAATAAAAAACCTAAGCTGAATATATACACTTGAACAACTTGCTACATTTCATGTTTTAATATAATCCTGATATTACGTTAACTATTCAATTGAAAGGTTACTGGAGTTTTGAAACCAATCGCTCATTTCCCATTTTCTCAAACATGAAGCATGAGATCGGAATGGTTATTCTACCACCAGGGAATTCCACATGCTCTAACGCTACTGAAAACAAAGAGCAATGTAACATTTGCTAGTTCATCTACAGAAAACAAAGAGCACTGAAACATTTGCTTGTTCGTCTACAAACTGACCACGCCAAAAAACGACGATAGATAATTAATTAAATTTTCATTAAAATCTTCAAACGACCAATTTTATGTTCTGCATGTTAAATTTTATAGACGAAAGAATTAACTCTTTATATTACATAAAACTTTTAAAACGATCATCTACTCTATGAAAAAAAAAACTTGATTAAAAATTAGTATGCTAACCATTTCAAACGATTGGCAATCAATAGTAAACCCATTTGATTCTGTTAACTTTAAGTTCCCAGCCATCAACCCTTTAGAGCAGGCGTACTAACAAAAATATAAGTAAATATACCAATTCTAGAAAAATAAACATAAAAAGTTAACGATCATACCACATTCAGCACACATCTAGGAACCTTCAACAAGAGCACAACATTTTCAAGAATGCTATTCAAGATGCTTTGTCTATAATCAAAAACTTTTGGATCTTGATAGTACAAATCTCTGCATACGTATGTCGAAGAAGATATTAAAAAAACGCAATTATTAATGAAAACCACAGCCTGTTTTGCGTTAGTTAACTTCCTGTTTAATTTTTCGATTTTTCTAACGGTAGATATTAAATCATTGCCAAGTTTCTTGAGTTCAAAACCAAAATTTTTATTTATTTTACTTATCAATTCGAACACCGAAGATGGTATAGGTATACCAAAGAATGCTTTTTTGTTCTATCATGCTTAAATGCTCTATCAAATATATATATATATGTATCACTGACTGGCCGCAGTATGGAAATCGCAGAAATGCTCAAGCGTAGAAGTATTGACATCTGCTGCCTTCAGGAACCCGATGGAAATCGAATGGTGTCTGTCATATCAACTCCTACAAAGAAAAATATAAACTATTCTGGAATGGTCAAAAGACGGCTCATCAATCACAAATCCCATCAATGTCAACTTTGACGCTCCACCCATCGAAGGTCCGATTCCAGACATCACATTAGAGGAGCTTACAAAAGCTCTGAAAGCTATGAAAGATGGAAAGGCAGCAGGGCCCTCTGGACTCACAAATGACATTATCAAAGCGTCAGGTACTGTAGGTATCTAAACGTTACTACAAGTTTGCCGTAAAATTGCTCAATGCCGACTGAATGGAACTATAGCATGACAGTCCCGCTATACAAAGGCAAAGGTGATCCATTGAACTGTTCATCATATCGGGGTATATGTCTGTT